TCATTGAGAGTGAAGAGGACACGTTAAGTGAGAATCCATAACTCAGCATGAGGTGACGTGATCAGCATTACAAGTGGCTTTCACGTGTAATTATCACTTTGGCTTCCAGAAAATCCCCTTAATACTACTGTAATCTACAGAGGAGGGTTGTATTTAGGATAAGGGCGTGTCATTACATATTCCACCCAGGAGTATTACATCTCTGTAAAATACCGTACAGTGATATGCTTGCCTCTCTCCCTCCTGACAACAGTCCTCCGGATAAATTGATCATTTCTCTCATGGCTCTTTTTAGCCTTGTACATAAAATGGCTGCCCCAAACACCTACAAAAACACAGTCACTAGAGTGGCAGGAATTAATGTAAAGCGCTTTCAGTGTATAAGGTGCTATAGAAACACAAGTTATCTAAAATGATAATAATCCTTGCATGTGATATCATGCCTTTTCACATTGAGACATCTCCAAGCACTTCACGGGATATACTGTAAAATGTAGTTAATTTGTGTTTGTAGGCAAACACAGCTGCCAATTTGGGTACAGCGCAGTGTCCCACAAAGAGCCATGAGTGAATGACTGATTTTATTTGGGGGATTATCGACCAGGACACCGGGAGAATCCTCCTTTCCCTTTTCGACTAATACCATGGGATCTTTACCATCCACCTGAAAAGAATAGACGCAGACGGGACTTGTTTTAACGTCTCATCTGAAGGACGGCCCCTCCGACAATGTAGTGCTCCACCCAGCACTGCGCTGGTGCGGGAACCTGAACCGTGAGCTCAAAATACAGACGAGACGTTTGAACTCACAAAGCTTCCGATCCGTTTGTGGTTTGGGGCCCAGTGATAGACTAATCTTGTAGATGGTTCCCTCAAGTGACTCGACACATTGTGCAAAACTTTTAATGTGCCAAAGACGCACGTAAAAAGCACAGGAGATTCCATGTGTCTCGACTGCTTTTCTCTCAAGTGCCTCATGGTTAGTTATCACAGTCAGTGGAGCGCGATGACTTATCAGCTGTTCCTTTTGTAATACATTAAGAAATCGAGATCATTTACACTGTGTTCTGGCTGATGAAACAAGCAATAATTTCTGATTGTTCGGTTTCTCAAACCAATCGCGTACATATCTATAGGCCAACTTTATCAGAATTCCCCTCGTGAACGTTGGCTCAGTCTCGCTCTCAATTTGGAAGCCTGCTTCTGCGGGAGTGGGGGGGGGGCGGGGGGTGGGGGGGGGAGAAAAACGGCTTCCAAATCAGTCAAAGAATTTTCTACAATTCTGCGTGACCTTAAATTTCCAAGACAAAATGGTTGTTAAGGCTGAGGCCAAGTGGAACTTCAGGGCTTCCCGTCCTAGCAGCCAAATAGTAAGTCCACCATTATACCATATATGTAGATCTCACTCTCCCCCCACCACCCCCCCACACCCGTGTGCAGAGCCAGGCTTCAGATTTAATTGGTAAATGTAGGCCATTTATTGCTGTGGGCTTGTGTCCTTTGAGGATTCCAGGAGACTGTGCTTTCTGGAGTACACTTCATTCGGAATGATCAGCAGCTGGTGGTGGGAGAGGAGAGCTCCCTCCTCTCTGTGTGAGCTGAAAGCCAATGTGGGATCAGTGAGGCCGGGAGGGCTGCCGTTGAATAGGACTTTATCTCAGCATTCAGCCCCGCCAGTCCCAACCCATGTCGGTTAACATAACTGTAACACGTCCACTCCTGTGCCAGGTGGTGTGTAGGTAGTCCCAACGCCAGGGGAATTCAGTCGTGTTCAGACAGAACGCTTTGCGTTCTTGCTCCCTGAACCACGTTTTGTGCTCCAGAACAGAATTCTTTTCTTAAAAAAAAGGTTTAATAATCATTCCCTTAAATAATAAACAACCTCAAATTGCCTTTACACAGCAGCCTTCACTCTGGACGGAGTCTTGGAGTGCTTTGATAATGATAATTATCCTTGCATTTGACTTAGTGCCTTCCGTGTCGAAATCTTTTATTGCTCATTCTGTTACAACCACTGTGTTTTTTTGGTCGGGTGTTCCATGTCCCCAATGACCTTTTCTGCGTGTAAAGGAAATCTTCCTAACCTCTCCGTTTACTTGGTGATGATTTCAAATGAATATCCTGACCAGTGGAAGCAGTTTCCTCCCATTTATCTTTTCAAACGCGTCATCGTATCCCGATGTTCGAGTGACAACAGCCCCAGTTTCTCTCCTCCGTTGTCCTCTTCCCTCTGTCTCGCCTCTCTCTGCCCCGTTTTGCCGGGAGCAAGTTGAATGGCAACGGGACACGAAACCGGTTTGGCGTCCCAGAAACCCTGCACAGAGGCTGTGGTTTGGAGAGCAGTGCTCGGAGGGGAGCTGATAAAAATGTCAGCAGCAGAAATGGAAGGAATTCAGAGCTGAGCCCCTAGTGCGCCAGTTGACAACTCTTCCACATATGAAGGATTTGGCCCTTAAGGAAATGGCTTAAAACCACAGGAGTAAAAAAGTGTTCCTTCGGCACGACAAGCAGGTTAAAGAAGAATCGCTCAATGTTTCTCTATCAGTGTAGAGGGTAAAACATGCATTTTGCGTCGCCACAGCCTTGAGACATTGGGTGCTATTTTGCTTCAAGTGTAAACCGTGGGTAAATGCGTGCACTCTACGCATGTGTCGGCCTGGCTCAATGATCGCACTCTCGCCTCTTGAGTCAGAAGCTTGTGGTTGCAAGCCCCACATTGAATCACATTGTCTAAGCTGACACCCCAACGCAGTGTTGCATTGACGGAGACGCCGTTCTTCGGATGAGGCGTTAAACCGGCATCCCGTCTGCCTGTCGAGGCGGACGGTAAAGATCCCGTGGCGCTGACCTAAAAAGAGAAGGGAATTTCTCTCTCCCGTTGTCCTGGCCAACAATCCCACAAAGAAAATTGGCCGTTCGCTGATGTGCACAGTTGGCTGCCATGTTTTGTCCACAATATACAGTCAATTCACTTTACAGTGTATCCTGTGAAGAGCTTTGAGACGTCTCAATGACATGATAAGGCATGGATTATCATTACTACTATTATTATGCACCATGTGGGAAATGCGTGTGTGTTATGCGTGCCATGTATAAGCCAGGTGTACACCAATCAAAATAGTAACTGGTGGCTCTTGTAACTTGTGCTGCCAAGAGCCAGCAATTGACCACTGGGTTACGCTTCATAGATATATATGTGAGGCATCTTAACATTAATTTTTAACTCTGGAGATTAACAGCGTAGTAAATTAGAAAGTGCAGTGGGATGGAGTTTTCGAATAAAGGGTCGCTGTGCGCCAGGGAATCTTTTCTGATCGCTGGTTTTATTGGAGCCAATTTGAACCACCAAAATAATTAGAAAATTGCATTTCTGGATGGAACATTTCAGAGGTTATAACGACTGCGCCCGCAACATTACAGGAAACCCTGGAACAGAGCCAAGCAGCGCCAGCCTGGTGTTTGATCCTCGCTCTGTGATGTGTTAGCTACTCCTGTCCTAAAGGAGTTGACTGGGCGAGTGGGAGTGGAAGGATTCACATCCAGGCCCTGATCCCCTCTGTTCCTTGGAGAAGGGAATAGAGGGAGGGGTGCAGGAGAGAGTGGTGCTTGTGTGGTGTGCAAATGCCAGCATGGACTAGTTGGGCTGAATGACTTGTTTCCGTGCCCTTAACCACTCTATGGGGCTCTATTTAACTCTACACACTAAACCTCACATAAGTTGTATCAGTTGGGACCATATACATTTAATATGACTTATGCAAAGTACGAGTGATGTTCAAATGCTACACAACTTGCATCATGTACGACTTATGTAAAGTTGTGTATAAGCCGTATTTTATATGACTTACAAATACACAAGTACCGAACTGGCTGGCGAGGGCCCTTTAAGGATGGAAATCAGTCCCTTTAAGGACTGATTGGTTTGTGCCCGAGTCTACCCACATAGTCCAGATCTGTCAGAAGCCAAATCCACTCCATCTTGCTGTCGGTATCTGCCTGCCTGGAACCTGGGGCCGCTCAGCTGGGAGCTGGTGTGTGTGTGAGATAAGCAGAGGGCAACTTATCCCAGTGTTAATGGCATCAGAAGATAAATAGTGGCAGCAGTTTGTTGGGCTAAAATTGTCTTCTCCTTTGTATTGTGTTGTATCCTCCGTGTTAGTCAAAGGGGAGACGGAGCACTGCTCGGTGACACCTCTGAACAGGAAGTCCTCCCAGTGTGAAAGGCGCGATATAGATGCCATTTGTTTTGTTGCAGTTTAACTCTTGGAAATTTACAGACCGTGTGCTGTGCTGATGTTTCTATAGCAAACACGATCCTTGCATTTGATGCAGAATCTTTCTAGCGAGGAGTACATCGCAAAGTGCTTCGCGGGATACACTGTAAAGCGTAGTGACTGTGCGGTTTTTATTTGCAGGCGAATGCGCTCAAACTCCTAGTTTATAATAATAATAATAATAATCCTTGCAATTGATATAGCGCTTTTCACGTCGTGAGGACATCCCAAAGCGCTTCACAGAACACACGGTAAAGTGAATTGACTGTATATTTGTGGGCGAACGCAGCAGCCAATTGCACACAGCAATGTCCCACAAACAGTCGTAGATTGAAAATGACCAATTTATTATTGTTTTTGGAGGGATTATTATTAGGCTCTGTGTGGAGTAAGGAAACTTGCCCAAGGTTTCGCCCTCTGCCGGGAATTGAACTCAGGTCTCTCACTTGCAAAGCGAGTGCTCTAACCACTGAGCTACAGGACTCCACAAATTCGAAGAACCGCAGAGAAATTAGGCGGTTTCTGAATTTAACAGCGTCCTGTTAAAAAAAAATTCCTCCTAGAACGCCGCACAATCTTAAGTGTGTTAAGACAACGGTCTTGTGGCTAAGAACGCGAGACAGATTGGTGTGGCTTTGGCAACAATGGCGGTGGTGGTGAAGCTCGGGGGCCGGCGCCTGCTGCTCTAACGCCTTGTCCTCTCTTGTTGTTGTGTGAACACCACAGGCCGCAGAATGGCTCCATGATCCTCTACAACAGGAAGAAGGTGAAGTACAGAAAGGACGGTTACTGCTGGAAGAAACGGAAAGACGGCAAGACGACCAGAGAGGACCACATGAAGCTGAAGGTGCAGGGAGTGGAGGTAAGGACTCGGGGCCTCACGGCTGCTAATCACGGTTACTCCCATCGTTCCTTGCAGCTCCTGTTCTGGAGAGAGAGAACTTCTCGCGGCCTCTGTCTCGGCCGTCGCCCTCCGGCTATGTCACCCGAGACTCCGTCGCACTCGACCCCATCGGGCGTTTGTGCTCTCGCGCCCTGGGCCTGTGTTCTGGGAACGTTTGCGAGATGATGATTAAAAGATACGCGTGTAATACTGTATTGTCAGCACTGAGATCAGGAGAGCAAGAGCAATATAATGAAGATTTATTTAGCCGGGTTACCCAGCGAATTTAAAAGGATGATTTAATTTCTCCTTTGGCGAGGCACCGAAGGATCGGAGAACTGTCTTTAAATCTATCTATTAAACACAACACCTACAGCGAAACGCTCCCCTCCAGAGAAGTGACATTTCAGTTGTGAATACACTCGGCAAAAGCCAAACCCACCATGTGGTACATCAGCCTCAAGGCGTGATTTTTAAGTAATTTTGTTCCAAGTTCCAGTTGCCTTTGATGTGGGACTGTGCGTGTGGCTCAGAGTATCACAGTGACCCTTTGTGAAGCTGTGCGGAGGGGAATAGGGAGCCAGTCAGTGATTTCTCATCAGATGGAGAATTGAAACGAGCGTCATGATGAGCTGAGATGCTGCACTTGACTGGTCGTCAGGCACTGGTGCGGGGTGGAAAGGGGAGCTTCGTATCAAAATCCCTGTACAGCGTTACCCTAATATTACATTACCCTGTATCCTCACAAACAGTCTGCTCTGCCTGCTGGCTGGAAGGGAGTTTTAACAGCCGTTTCAACGGGTAAACAGGATGTAGACTTAACGACTCATCCAAAAGATAATGCAATGCTTTCCCTAAGCACTGTGGTGGAGCATCAGCCTCGACTGCACTCAGGTCCTGATGCGGGTTTGAACCCAGAAGCGGCTGAACAAGGCTCCTGCATTGTTACCTCCTGGAGCAGAGAATAAAGTTTGAGAGGGAAGGAGAAAGGGTTGAGGGAGGAAGGGAGAGAGGGAAGGGGTGAGGGAGGGGGGAATGCCAGTGGGGGGGGGATGGAATAAACATATTCTACAATGAGAAGCTTCAGAAGCCACAGCAACTTCACTTAATTTTCCAATCGTCTTTCCTGCTTCCCGACTCGTTCTCTTATCTAGTTATAAGACAGCGAGGCTGGAGATTGCGTGTGTGTGTGTGCGCGCGCGCGTGTGTATGTGTGTGGGTATGTGTGAGTGAGCGTGTGTGTGCGCACGCGCATAGAGGGGGAGGGGAAATAATTAAAACAAAACTCAGTCTTTACGTGCTTTGGCTCAGGGTCCTGTTAAATTTCTAACATCATTAGTCACCGAGGGTAGTGAACGGCAAGTAATTTATAAACAGTGAAGGCGCAGGAAGCTGGAGCCTGCATTCAGTTGATATCAGTTTCGCCGTGAGAGAAGTTAGCGGACAAGGTTTTTCTTTTGTAATTGAAACGGCGACAACTCGGAAATGTTTCAATGCTTTGCCGTCAGCAATGACTCTCCAGTCAACACATTCGATTCCAACACATTCCGACTCGATAAACTGCACCGATCGTTATCCCGCCGATAATAATCCTTGCATTTGATACAGCGCCTTATCACGTCGTTGAGACGTCTCAAAGCGCTTCACAGACTACACTGTATAGTCAATTGACTGCCTATTTTGTGAGCGAAACCCAACGGCTAATTCCACACAGCAGTGTCCCCACAAACAGTTGTGGATTGAGTGACTACGTTTTTTTTGGAGGGATTATTACCCCGGAAAGCGATCCGCCAATCCACAAACAACCGGGTTCCTACTTATTGCTTGGTAAACAGCGGCGTGTGTGTGGAGTAAGGAAACTTGCCTAAGATTTCGCCCCGCCTGGGAATCGAACCCAGGTCCCCTCGCTTGCGAGGCGAGAGCTCTTAACCACTACGCTACAGGGCTCCAATCCGCAAGATGAACTCAGCTCCCCGTCTACTGCATCGGCAGTCAGGCGCACGTTAAATATCCCCGCGACACTGTTGGTAAAAAGCTGGGGGTTCTCCGAGGGTCTTGGTCAGCAGTCCTCCAGATTAACGGGTCACTCATTTGATACCTGTGCACAGTTCCTTGCTGGCACAAGTAATTTCTAGGTTTGCCTACAAAAGCAGTAATTAGCTGTGAAACACCTTGAGAGGTTTTGATATGATAAAGTGCTACAAACATGCTATTTCACCTTATTATTATGGAGTCGTCCTGTGCTCTCTGCCTCACTGTCAGCAGCAGGCACTCCCAGGCCAGTGTTCATGTTAATAATAATAATAATCTTCTCTGAGTCGTCTCAAAACGCTTCTCAGAACATGCTGTCAAGTGAATTGACTGCATATTTTGTGGGCGAAACACGGCAGCCAATTGCGCACAGCGGTGTCCCACAAACAGTCGTGGACAGAGTGACCTAATCAATGAATTAACAAACTAATGTTCGACACAGAATAAAGCTCTCTCTGCCCTGCCCCAACACACGTCCCAGCTCCAGCCTCTGACAACAAGGGCAGGTGTCTTTGCGACGTCTCAAAGCGCTTCACAGGATACACCGTACTCACCGCAAATGTTAAGCGCTGGTGGCCCCATTGGGCAAAGAGCTGGGCATACCGTTCGGTGCTTGACCACCTCCGCTCACAGACCGAACACAGATCTGGGAGTGAGATGCCACTCACTGATAGCCATCTGGGTTGAGACTGTCTTTGTCACATTTCTGACACTCATGATTTATGTGCCGAACAGTCCCAACAGCAACATCGTTCACAGTCAACGAGACACAAGGGCGGGTGGAAGATTTGGGCGATCACAGCAAAGGCAAACCTGGGGGGGTGGGGGTGTTGAGAGTAGAGAGATTGCGGGCGAGTCTTTGAGAAGCAAGCCACGGGAATTAAAGAGAGACAAAGAGCGGTAATGAGTCCCGCCTGTAGAACACATATTGTGGAGGCTGCTTCTTAAACAAGGGACTTAGTCTTAAGATTCGAGCTAAGACGTGAGATCAGGAATCATTTCTTCACACAGAGGGTTACTGATGGAAATGTGGAGCGCACCTGCCCACAAATCCATCGAGACAGAATCAGTGGGGATGTTTAAAATGGAGATGGAGAGCCAGAGATACCAGGGGAAGTAAGAGGATTAACAGAATGAGGAAAAGGAGGGAAATGGGATTAGAAGATTTGCCACCATCTGTCGTACTGAGGACACGATCGAGGGGCTGAATGGACTCCTCCTGTTCCGTGGCGGCGCCTCTCAGGTGTCTGATTGCGACGAGACTGGGCTCTGGTTTGCAGGGAATGTACAAAGGACGTGCAGGTATTGAGTCCCAATCAGAGCTCCATCCTGGTGCTGATAATAATCATAATAACATTGCATTTGATGTAGAACCTTATCGTGCCTTCGAGATGTCTCAAAGCGCTTCACAGAATACACGGTAATAATATACTACAGTATGTACTCCCAGTACCACAGGAACTCATGTCCTCAAATCCTCCTCCGCAGCTCGGAGAAATGAGACCCTTATGTCTCTTTAAGCTGTTAAATCAGGTCTAGCTCAAACTCCAGGCACTTTGTAGTTAAACGCTGGAACAGTAATCGCCTGGTACATGAGCAAGATTAGCACAGATTAAGCCGGCTGGGAACACTCCCACATTCCCAAACTCCGCAGCCAATTTCCCGATCCAATCCTGGGAGAAGCCAGTTTCTAACACGGATCCCAACGCCCTTCGCAGCCATCACAGACACATCGATGTCACTTAAATCGCCAGCTTCTGAATTAGGTTCTTTCCATTAGGTTTACTATGGATGTCATACTTGTTGGGGGGGGAAAAAAGGGAGGAAAACAAAAAAATCAACTTGTTCCAGGGTAATTCTTGGAAATCAATTGTCGTTTTTGTCGGATTAATAAATTTCAGAGTTTTTTTTAAGATTGAGATGATATATCGCTGCCTGGCCACTGGTGGAGGAGGGAGATGATTAATATGTGTCAGCGAGCAGTTTGTGTTCCTTCGGGGACTCTGTGGATTATTAAATCGGCTTCAAGTCCCTTAGGAAAGCCTCCGAAGGGGCACAAATGTAAATATTGGTGCTTACGGTGACTCTGTGCTGCATTAATGAGGTTCGGGAGCGATGTGGTGCTGTTTCAAGCCTGGCCAACCCTGCTTCGAGCTACTGACCTTCCCCGAGAGTCCGGTGGGCATGATACAGGCGGCGCAGTTAAAGGTCCTGTCAATTTGTCAAAGCGAGCAAACAAAATCTACCCATACAGCGACATGCTGAATTGGCTCCCCCTTTAGGAACCCTGTAACATAAACAGCCGTGGATTGAGTGACCAATTTATTATTATTTCTTTATTACTATATATTGGAAAAGAGAAGGTGAGTTTCCCTCTCCCGGTGTCCCAGCCCACAAACCTCCAGTTAGAATTGGTCCCTCACTGTTTGTGGGTTCGCGCCAAATGCAAATTGGCTGCTGGCAAGTTTGCCTAGAAATACACAGTCACTACACTCGGTAAAGCGCTTTGCTCTGAGGCCTTACAGGCACTACATCAAACAGGAGGATTATTATATTACAGATAACCAGGGTTGAGCCAGCTCCTCAGCACACAGAAGATTAAACGGCACGGGCTGTACTCAGCTCCACTTGCTCACTGCCACATAAATGATGGAACCTATTTCTGCACCAGTGATAACTTATGACACTACGAATATACAGCAAAAGCTGGATTTAAACATGGTTTGTACAGAAGCAATCTTTCACCACAAAAAATGTGAATATAAACCGGTGTCATTTAACCCTCAGCCCTCTGTGCCGGTGATTTATTTCGGAACAGAAAGTTGAAATATGCATGAACTCCCTGGACTCTCCCAGGCTGTGTTCGGAAGCACATTCCCATTGTGTCTTTGAATCAACTTCGAGCTCATACTTCATCCCCATTCACAGCTGATATTCGCTGCGTTTAG